TCAGGTGACACCAAGATGTATTGACCTTTTTGACATGCAGCTTGACCCTGGTTGATAGTATTCTGGGCATATCACTAGATCTGCATCCACTGTTCGGTTCTTTTCTGAATGTTGAGATAAAACTATTAATATAAAACTATTAATATAGAGCAGGTATTAGTCCAAAGGCCAAGGCGCAATACTACGACCATTTGTCTCTATATTGTTTATGTGGACTATAATATAGGTGCTGAAGAAGGCTTCAGGCGCACACACTTCATGGCTCACTTACATTGCATCTTGAGACGCAAGAGCTCCTCCTCGCGAAGTTTGAGCTTCTCCTCGCGGAGTTGGCGCTCCTTCTCGAGAAGTTTGAGCTTCTCCTCGCGGAGTTGGCGCTCCTCCTCGCGGAGTTGGCGCTTCTCCTCGCGCAAGTGAGCCAACTCATCTTTGTCCTTGCATTCTTTTAGTGCATCCTCCGTTGCCTCTATCTGCGACTCGACCTCCTGTATTTTCCTATCAAGATTCTCCATGCGCCTAACACCAGCGGAGTTGTGTAACTAGAGCTCCGACTGTAATGAACATTAAGCAGATGCTATATCTTCCTCGTAAGGACAAAGTCTCTGCTGGCGGAAAAATGGAAAAGCGGTTGCCGTACCTACAGGGATTACAGGGATTCATCGTAGGGACCTGAACATATACCCCGCCGGCGGACGGTCCCCTGTCCGCAACGCCGTACATCCTGACCGTTCCAGCGGACGCCTAGCGGACGGTCATGGAAACGATGGTCCAAAGCTCCAAAACATCTGTATGTAGATGATTCATGAGACGCTAATAATAAATGCTCCAGCTTGCACTCCTTGGCAAGCAATTAACGCGCAAAACACTCGCCAGGAGAAACTAACCCCAAAATTGTGACGCACATAGTCAAAAGGCTTCTAGCATAAAAGGAGAAAGCAATCGAAAGAAATAAGACAACATCCCAAGGCGCGCGGCGGACATTCTAATGACCTGTTTATGTAACCTGCTTAAATAACACCAACGCACTGGAATAATTGAATCATGCATTAAGGTCATTGCAATGGCCACAAGCACTGGGCATTAGTGAAAGGGATTCAGCAAAGACTGACCGTCACGCCCAACACGTCGTTCCATCCCTTTGTCGGCTCTGAATGGCACAATGAATGCTCTACTGGGTAAATGATCATTTGGCGGTGGAAAGAGGCCATTGTATGGCATCCGAGCTGGCGCACAGCTTGCGCATGTCCCCAAGACCCAACACGGCACCACGCCCCGCACCCGGTTACGCCCTTGTCCTGCATTCCACCTGCCAGCCTGTCTGTGCAACACAGCGCATGGCGGGCAGGCCAACGAAGCCATACCAAAGTTTCGTTCAAGACTGGGGTCCCAAGCTCTCAGAATCCCAGGCTGCCAGGCTCCGAGGCACATAGGCTCCCAGGCACACAGGCTCTTAGAATCCCAGGCTGCCAGGTTCCCAGGCTTACAGGCACACAGGCTCCCAGGCACACAGGCTCTTAGAATCCCAGAATCCCAAGCACACAAGCTCTCAGAATCCCAGGCTTCCAGGTTCCCAGGCTCTCAGAATCCCAGGCTTCCAGGTTCCCAGGCTCTCAGAATCCCAGGCTCCCAGGCACACAAGCTCTCAGAATCCCAGGCTGCCAGGTTCCCAGGCTCTTAGAATCCCAGGCTGCCAGGCACACATGCTCTTAGAATCCCAGGCTCCCAGGCAAACAGGCTCTCAGAATCCCAGGCTCCCAAGCACACATGCTCTTAGAATCCCAGGCTCCCAGGCACACATGCTTTTAGAATCCTAGGCTTACAGGCACACAGGCTACCAGGCACACAGGCTCTCAGAATCCCAGGCTCCAAGGCACACATGCTCTCAGAATCCCAGGCTGCCAGGTTCCCAGACTCTTAGGTTCCAAGGCTCCCAGGCTCCCAGGTTCCCAGGCTCTCAGAATCCCAGGCTCCCAGGCACACATGCTCTTAGAATCCCAGGCTCCCAGGTCCCCAGACTCTTAGGTTCCAAGGCTCCCAGGCTCCCAGGCTCTCAGAATCCCAGGCTCCCAGGCACAGAAGCTCTTAGAAAGCCAGGCTCCCAGGCACACATGCTCTCAGAATCCCAGGCTGCCAGGTCCCCAGACTCTTAGGTTCCAAGGCTCCCAGGCTCCCAGGTTCCCAGGCTCTCAGAATCCCAGGCTCCCAGGCACACATGCTCTTAGAATCCCAGGCTCCCAGGCTCCCAGGTTCCCAGGCTCTTAGAATCCCAGGCTGCCAGGTTCCCAGACTCTTAGGTTCCCAGGCTCCCAGGCTCCCAGGTTCCCAGGTTCCCAGGCTCTCAGAATCCCAGGCTCCCAGGCA